AAACTTATGCAAAAGGTGTCGTGTTACTAGGAGAACATAATATACGAAGAGGTTCTTTTCTATCTCTGTCAGAATTATTTCAAAGCTTTCATTCGATTTAAAAATTTGCCAATTCTGTATCAGGATCATATGAGTGCGAGAAGGTGTTTCTTATCCTAATACTACACCTGTTACTTGTCGACAAACTTATGCAAAAGGTGTCGTGCTACTAGGAGAACATAATATACGAAGAGGTCCTTTTCTAGCTCTGTCAGAATTATTTCAAAGCTTTCATTCGATTTAAAAATTTGCCAATTCTGTATCAGGATCATATGAGTGCGAGGAGGTTTTTCTTTTCCTAATACTACACCTGTTACTTGTCGACAAACTTGTGTAAAGGGTGTCGTGTTACTAGGAGAACATAATGTACGAAGAGGTTTTTTCTAGCTCTGTCACAATTATTTCAAAGCTTTCATTCGATTTAAAAATTTGCCAATTCTGTATCAGGATCATATGAGTGCGAGGAGGTGTTTCTTTTCCTCATACTACACCTGTTACTTGTCGACAAACTTATGCAAAAGGTGTCGTGCTACTAGGAGAACATAATATACGAAGAGGTCTTTTTCTATCTCTGTCAGAATTATATCAAAGCTTTCATTCGATTTAAAAATTTGCCAATTCTGTATCAGGATCATATGAGTGCGAGGAGGTGTTTCTTTTCCTAATACTACACCTGTTTACTAGTCGACTAACTTATGCAAAAGGTGTCGTGCTACTAGGAGAACATAATATACGAAGAGGTCTTTTTCTAACTCTGTCAGAATTATTTCAAAGCTTTCATTCGATTTAAAAATTTGCCAATTCTGTATCAGGATCATATGAGTGCGAGGAGGTGTTTCTTTTCCTAATACTACACCCGTTACTGGTCGACAAACTTATGCAAAAGGTGTCGTGCGACTAGGAGAACATAATATGTGAAGAGGTCTTTTTCTAGCTCTGTCAGAATTATTTCAAAGCTTTCATTCGCTTTAAAAATTTGCCAATTCTGTATCAGGATCATATGAGTGCGAGGAGGTGTTTCTTTTCCTAATGCGACACCTGTTACTTGTTGACAATCTTATGCAAAAGGTGTCGTGCGACTAGGAGAACATAATATACGAAGAGGTACTTTTCTATATCTGTCAGAATTATTTCAAAGTTTCATTCGATTTAAAAATATGCCAATTCAGTATCAGGATCATACGAGTGCGAGGAGGTGTTTCTTTTCCTAATGCGACACCTGTTACTTGTTGACAATCTTATGCAAAGGGTGTCGTGCTACTAGGAGAACATAATATACGAAGAATGTCTTTTTCTAGCTCTGTCAGAATTATTTCAAAGCTTCCATTCGCTTTAAAAATTTGCCAATTCTGTATCAGGATCATATGAGTGCGAGGAGGTGTTTCTTTTCCTAATACCACACCTGTTACTTGTCAACAATCTTATGCAAAAGGTGTCGTGCTACTAGGAGAACATAATATACGAAGAGGTCTTTTTCTAGCTCTGTCAGAATTATTCAAACAGTTCCAAGATCGGGCTACTAGATCAAAAGTTACAGCTTTTTGAATTTTTTGCCGAAATTTTGACAGCGCCAATCGATAGCGCTGGTCGAGACCTTTCCAACGAGGGGTCGGAAGGCATATCTACGACGCACCGTTCTCGTTTCTCGTTTCGACCAAAAATTCTGACAAACCGTAATGGGGGGGGGGGGGGGGGGGAGAAATAACACAACATTTTGTTTCTTTATCTATTTATAACGACTTAGAAAAGCAAGTTCTGCCGGACTGTTACCGACTAATATTATAAACGACGGAGTACCACCTTTCACTAGCAAACTGTAAAGATAGCACTTAAAGTAAAGCGTTCAGTGGAATGCGAATAACCTACCCCTTGCATTTCAGTACGTCACGTAATTTACTGTCGATGTCGAACCGCTGTAACTTTCCAGATGACTCGAGGTAAACGTGCAAATCTGCCACTTTATACTTGCTCTCTGCATCCCACGCGGGGCTCTCCTCGAAGACGCGATCTAAATGCTCCCGAAATCTGAAACAAATTTTTAGAACATTCCCATTGCATCCTTAACTTACGTGTCATATTCGTCGAATTCCTGTATAAAGTCCATCACCTGATACTCGGGATACGTGAATATGACGGGCCACACCAACCGACCGTCGTTCAAATGCACCGCACATTCGGCCAGCTCAGGAACGACAGGCCGCAGGTCGCCCTCGAACGCGACCCCCGCCGCGCCGATCGCCTTCATCAACTCCCGCCGCGCGTCCGCCTTCCTATCCTCGCCCCTGCGCGCTTTCCTCGAATCCTTCTCCTGTCGCTTTCGCTCGTTCACGATCGTCTGCCGCAGCCGGACGATTTCGGGAGTCCGATCGCCGCCGAGCAGCAGGTCGCAGTACTCGATTCCCTGATCGAACTGGCGCGTTTCGAGGCAGCACTTGGCAGCGCGACCGAGCGTCTTGCGGTAGTTCGGCTTCAGTCGTAGCGCCCACTTGCAGTCGTGCAGGGACGAACTGGGGAGGTGTTAGTCGGCGCAATGCGCAGTTTTATTCTCTACTCACCGGTAATTTTTCAGGAAGAAATGCGCGGCGGCTCTGTTGTTGTAAAGTGTCGCGTTGGTCTCGGCGTTTTCACACTTGATCTTTAATCAATAGGAAGTACTCAATGGGAAATTAATTCATTGAAGTCGTTGATATTTGTGTTTTTGGGCTTTATTTTTAAGTGGGCGGGGATACCAACCCAACCCACTACACATTTTACAAATATCGGAAAGATTTCTCTTTTCCGTCATTTTAAATGGCGCCATTACTAATAAAAAAATTAAATGTGGCTAGTACAGATACCACCTGCGCATGCGTGATTCTGCCCTTTTATGTCTAAGAATATGGGTACCAAATTTGGTTCCGGAAATGAGAGTACAGAGGGACCGACATCATTGAGATTTTGTTTGATTCGGATTTTTAGTGATTCAAAAACGTGTATTTTCGTTAATAAGTGGGGGGTCATTGCAATACCTCCACCCTTACTAACGTGTAGGTGTTAAAAACATAAGCATTGCATTTGAAAAACAAAAGATGCCTCCATATGCATTTGAAAAACAAAAGATGCCTCCAACTCCGCTTAACCACCACCAATTAAAATAAGAGATATTGAGGTGACCATCTTATTACAAACACAGTGTATTTAAATGCAAGATAATTGAATATGTGAACCCCTGGTCACTGGGATGACTTAGAGGCATTGGAGACCCTAAAAACCATAGACCTTTGAAATCTGTAATATAACTATGGGAAGTTTTGACCGAATATCCGGACCTTTCCCATTTTGATAACCCTATAACCTCTGAGGAGTCAAATAGCGGGGCCCACAAAGATTCAGTGGTTCCTGCAGGTCCTGAAAACCTGCACATTCTGAAACAAAACTATCGAGGTCCGAAAGATTCCGCCCCAGGAGATCTAATGGTGCATTAAAATATCCGAGAATTCATTTTCATTTGTCCTTATCGGCACCTACCTTCAATCCTTCAGTATACGCGATTATGGCAAGCCGATAGTTTCCGTGCTTAAAGTTGAAGTTACCGTCGTCTTTGTACGCATTCGCTAGCTCTAAAATCGGCAATATAATCATACGATTGGTATACCGAGTGAGAATGACCTTCGGGTGTATTTTCGTTAGGATCGTATTTTAACTGCTGCAGGCCCTCCATGAGCGGATCAAGTGGTTCGCCCGCCTCCGGCATCTTCTTCATGAAGAACGGATGTTTTTCCATCTCCTGAAAGATCAAAAGCTGTAGTGCCAAGTCCCAGAAGTCTGCGCGCATACCTCCTGCCACCGATCCTCGGGCCAACCTTCCGTGTACGGACGCTTCTCCAGGCCATCTATAAAGTCGTCTAGTTCCTTGTCCAATTTTGCGGCGAGAGCTAACCGCTCTTCGTCCGTAAATTTCTTTGCCATCGCAAGATTGTTTATGGTCACATTCACGATGCTAAAAGTTGGGTTATGTGTGAAGTAGTCGCAGTGTTATATGAATTGGTTCGTTTGAACTACTAAAATCAATTTGAACTATTTTTCCAAAACGAGGCCCGAAGGTCCCAGAACACTGAAGGACTGTGGATTTCGGCCATGTAACAATGTTACTTGAAGCAGAAAAATAAGTTTATTATAAATACGTTTAATTACATCAATCGTTATTTCTTTTTCCGTCCTTTACGTTTCAATTTGGCTAACTGGGACGACTCTTCGCCAACGCTGACACTTCCTCCGGCGATATCATCGCGATCTTCCGATCGTGAAATGGTCTGCAACAAACACGTGTCATAGTCACGGGAAAAGCAACCGAAATAACACACCTGTTGCGCTTCGAAGTGAAACATCAGATCCCTGAGCTGCTCCTGAAGCTCGTTCACCTCACGCTCCTTCTCACCGCTTACGCTCTGTAGGCGCTCTTCGAGTTGGGCCACCTTCGTCTGCCACTGTTGCTGGTACTCGCGTAGTGCCTTGCCTAGCTGCCTTTCCTCGTTTAGCTCGCCTAATGTAATGGACAACCTGTTGGGAAAGCAGAATTGTAGCGATCTAAAATGCGAACCAGGGGAAGATTGCGAGACACCCCTCATTTGAAACACATACCGCGCGGAGCTTTGTGAAAATTTCTTCTCCACGGCTTGCTTTTCTTTGCTTACGTTGGCGAGTTTCGTTTTCAACTGCTTATTCTCCTCGGAGAGCTCGGTGAGTTGCTCACGTAGTAATTTCGATTCCAACGTGGCTTGATTGTCCAGGTGCAGCAGCTTCTCTTCGAAATAAATGCGTTGCTCCTCCAACTGGGATGTCAGCAGGTAGGTGAACTCAAGCTGAACGGAGTCGACCTTCTCCTGAGCGCCTTCGGATTCCGGTGGCGGTCCCTCGGCGGCCACGAGCTTACCGTCCGCCTTATTTTGCAACAGCCGATGCACGAAGTTATCGCCCTTGTAGTCCCAGACGCGATGCGACCCCAGCTGTAAAGCGTAGCAGTGGCCGGACTCACGAGCGTGCGATGCAGCGTGACCGCCCTGATATCGTCCGCAACCGACGTGTCCGCATATCAGACAAATCCAAAGGGCGTCGGGGCCCACTCGACCGCAATTCTCGCACTCCGAGCTCTCAGCCTGTTCGGGACTTTGGACGCATCGACAGACGGGACACGTCGAATCGCTCCACTGCTCGAGGCAGTTGGCGTGAAACGCGTGATTGCATAGGATTGTCAGAACGCCGTCGATTGACTCGTCCATTCGCTCCAGGCACACCGGACACGTCGGCAGTTCTGTGTGACCGGGCGGCGGTAACCCATTGTGAGCCCACTCCACTCGCGACACCCACACGATCCGGCACAGCGCTTCCGGTTCCAAACTATTAAAAGGGGCCCCATTGAACGTGTCATAAAATTCCTTGGCGGCCGGATAATTGCGAAACCTGCAACGTTCGAAATGGACTTGCCGAATTGAATAATCAATAATTACGTGAGAAGGGTCATGTACTGATTCGGACTGGAATCCCGCAGCACCCTGATGTGTGCGATTTCCGCGTGGCACGGCGCGGTAAATGCCAACAGATCGTGGCACGTCATCGAAGTTGGCACGCCCAAAATGCACAGCATTAACGCCTCCTCTCGACTGCTCAACGTGCTAAAAAATACGACGGATAGACGAAGAGGTGCGCCAAAATCTACTTACTCCTCCTTATACAAGTGCAGAATTCCTTTCGTTATTTCGACAAAGGGATTGCCGCTGAAAAATCCGATTTCGCCCATCTCCTCGACGTCGCCTTGCTCGAACGACGCACCGCGAGAGTTCTTCGGTAGGATGCCCCAGTCGTCCGTGGGCTTCTCCAAACGGCTCGCAAACGTTTCAACGCTTATGTCTTTTACCTTACGTTGACCGCGACAGTTTGGGACTCCTAGGGGGGCTTCCGCGCCGTGTACCTCGTCCAAAGCTTCCCCCGACTCGTTCACTTCCACTCTTAAGACGCATTTTGAAACTAATTCCGACATTATTTTGACTAAATAATTAACAAACAGCTGATCAAAGATAACAAAGTGGTTGGGTCGCATTCAGCTTTTTTTTTCATTTAAGACTTCGTAGGCAGTAGGCAACACATCATACACATATCAAACGCCATTCATTTTTTTTGCTAAGTGTGAATTTGGATTTGTTCCGTATTTTTTTGGTCCCTCCAGAGTTTTCTAGGTTTGCAGAACTCTCATGCCCTTTCGATGGTATGGAACGCACTCATAAACCTCTTCTTCCAGCGCTTTCTAAAACGTCAGTTAAGTTTTGTAGAAGAATGTTGTTCGCCCACTGCAAAGGTTTTCATACCTCGTTTCCAAATTTTGTTTGTCCTTTTGGTTCACCATGAAACAGGGACCAGTTATTTCAAAATAGTTTTATTTGAAATATGACAAATATACAGGCTTCAATCACATATCGGAAGAGAACAACGCAATGGGTTTTTTGGTAATGCATCAATTTGGCAGCTGCTTCAGAATTCTTTTCAATTGTTAACTACAACCGTGACTAGGAGAACAACATAAAAAATAATAATAATGATAATAAAATAGACTCTATAATACTCCTTAACCAAGCAGTAATCAAACTAACGAGTAAAATGGTTGAACTTTAATTGGAAGCACCATTGGAGGAGGCATTTTTCCGCCTCGCCGTTTGCCGTTGATGTTCGAGTTCAAAATCGCGTTCGGTCAGGTTCAATCGACCGACGTTATACACAAGATACTCCTCAGACAGCACGTATTCGGGCGGATTTCTGAGCAAATCCAACGTTTCGCATAGTCCCTGGCAGCGTTTACGATTGCGTGCGTTTCCGAGGCAACCCTCCAGGATGACCAACGCCGTTTTAAACAACACCTTCACACCCTCACAGAGAAATATATCCCAGATCCGTAGCAAAGAGTCCCACGGTAACGTTCTGGTAAAGGCACACAGAAACCATTCGGTACAGTAAAACATCGGCTCGGCGTTCACTTTTTTTAGGTGACGGTACGCCGGCGAGCAGGTCTTCTTCAAGAGCGCCTGCAAGATGAAGCCGTCACGTTGTACGATTTCGAGACCCGGCGAGTAGTAATCCTTGAGGTAACGATCCGAAATGCTCACCAGGCACCAGAACGCCTGGATTGCGGGCATGTGCATCAGAAGGAACGCGGCAACCGGCGCCTGAGCCTGACAATAGCCCACATCTGGATTGAAAACAGTGTATGCTTTCAAAACGTGTAGAAGCTCCTGCTGTCTGCAAAACATGATTATTAGAACTGTCAAAGGCATGTGGGCGAGCATAGCACCGCCCAAAAAAAAATTAAATTAAAATTTAGATACCCCCCCCCCCCTCTATCTTGTGGAGATAATATATTTTTTCCCCTAAAACACCGCACTTATTTAAATTACAAAACTGTACCTACTGTAGGATCAATACTTATTAATCAGGGCAGCATTTGGGACAAAATTGACATGCATTGTACACATAAGTGCCTACCCAGGCTTGTCTTCAGATATAAACATTTCATGGTACGGAAATTGCCGGTGCAAGTCTTTCTTTATGTCCTCCAACGCTTTCGGGTCCGCATTTTGATTCAGGCACAGGCTGTAACGTTCCGGATACTTCTCCAACAGCAGCTGACCTCCGCACAGAAACAGCCAGGCTTTCGGACGAATCGACATGGGAATACCTACGGGAATGCCTTCGTAATGTGAAGCGGTCGACTGTAAGTTTACCTTTGCGGCAGCGTTCGCGGACTTTCCGATAATTTCGACTCATGTAGAAGTTCCACTTGGAAAGCATCTTCAACCACTTGTGCTCGCGTCGTAGTATCGTTTCGGACGAGGGTCCCTGCTTGACCTCGGGCGAGTACTGGGAACCGCCGAGGAAACCGTGCCTGTCCGGTACGGTGGATATGACGCTTCCATCGATAAGAGTGCTGGCTTCGCTACATAACGAAACGGTATCAGCTGCTGTTGACGATGCCATAAGAAATCATTTGAATGAAGGAGACGCCCACAAACACATGTCCTAGGCAACGCAGTTGGATCCACAGCAGTCAGTTTACAGGTTAATTGCCATAGGACAATTTATAATTGATACACGTCCCCCTATTATTCATCGCCGTTTTCATCCACAAACGTACGTGACAAAAATAATTGATTCGTTTCTAATTGACCGATATTAATTTATTTTTTGACATTTGTGTATTTTGCAATCAAAATACAAAAGTGCCAATCCAAAAACACTGTTGCCAACATGTTAAATATCAAACAAAAAAAAAGGGCGTGGTTGAGTGTGATATACAGGATGCTCGATCGAAATGACTAGGAAATGAAGAGGGGGGGGGGGGTTGCCGAAATAGCAGTGTTTGATAAAAACCACAAGCGACTCCTAAGGGGTTGGGTGCTGTCTGAGAGATCGAAACAGTGCCATCTCGTGGGATTTAGCACGAGTTGCACCGGCATGATACCGAGAGCCAAGGCCGAATTATGAAGGTAAACAGTGTACCCTACATACGAGTTGTACTTATAAAAATTAATACACGAATAATTTAAAACTACACTTCAATCTCCTCCTTGTCTTGATCTTTATCCCCCTCGTAAAATTCATTTTTAACAGCCACCATTTTGTCGTCCAACTCCTGACTTATCCGAACATCGGGATCTTCCTCGTCTTTCATCTTATCACCTTCCGATATCGCATCGCCGGGAACATCGTGCACTTGAACGCTGGGCGAGTGCTGACACATTTTTAAATTATCGAACACGTACCTAAAATTAAGCGATTATAAGGGGGCGGGGATGACGGCGCCCCTTACTTGGTAATCGCCTCCAAGTATTGTCGACTGTTCGCATTCTCCTGTCGCGTCACGACCTCCGGATGAAGCGTAAAGTCGGGGGCGAAAAATTCTAAGTACTCGGTGTACGGTAGCTCGTTCGAAATTTCCTCGTCGACTAATAGGGAGGTTTCGTAAGTCCAACATCGCGCGACGTTCCTCAGGGTGTAACCGCCGCCACCGACAACTAAAGTGGGTACGTTTAGATCCCGCACAAATTTGACGCACTCCCCGTGTCCCTTCGTGCTCAATGAGAAGCAGCCGAGCCTACAATTCAAACCGAGAGTTTTTTGAAGTTTCAAAGCCGTTACTTTTACCTGTCATTTGCGAGGGAGTCGGCCCCGCACTGCAGCACGATAGCGGTCGGTTGAAAAAATTCCATTACGTGAGAGATGACCGGCTTAAATATTTGCCAGTAGCTCGCGTCGTCGATGCCCTCCTTGAGGGGTACATTTACGGAATAGTAACGGCCGCTTTCCGCGCCGATCTCGTACATGTCCCCCGTGCCGGGAAAGAAGTAGTTGCCGTACTTGTGAAAGCTGACGGTCATGACGCGATCGGTCAGATAGAACGCCTCCTGAACGCCGTCGCCGTGATGGACGTCGATGTCGATGTACAAAACGCGAGCGTGATACTTGAGCAGTTCGAGAATTCCGATCACGATGTCGTTTACGTAGCAGAAGCCGGACGCCTCGAACTTTTTCGCATGGTGCAGACCGCCCGACCAGTTGATCGCGATGTCGCAGTGGCTGTTGTTCAGCTTGACGGCGCCCTCGAGCGAGGCGCCCGTGTACATCGAGCAAAAATCGAACAGACCGTAGAATACGGGGCAATCGTCGCCGACATTGTAGTGACTTAGATGTTTCGTGAACGCCTGTATGTTCTGCGGGGTGACACGCTGGAGGAAATCTGAAAGATCACCTGGTAGTAGGTAGCGGGACGATGCGAGACTCACCTATGTATTCGTCCGAGTGGAATCGACACATGTCGTGCGCACTAGCCTTGTACGGCCTGTATATTTGCATTTTGTTGTGTAAGCCGTAATTTAAAACTAAACTATGTATCACAGAGAGACGATGGGGCTTCATTGGGTGACCGGTACCATAATGAAAGTTGCCCACATCGGGATTGTAAAAGTACGAAACCTTTTTTGTGGACATTCTAATAGAAGTACTGTTTTATTAAGAGAATAATCGTTAGAAATAAAACGACGGTTATTAAACGTTTAGTTAAAGAGTTTTGATCAATCATTAGTAATTTTGAATATTGATAATATGCCCTTTTGGCTGTTTGTTTTGTTCATAAGTTGACGACGCTTAAATCGTGATACCAACCTTACGGACAGGTAGTGGCTGTGGCTATGGTACCAGACTTGTCGTGACTGATATATACAGGGTATGGAAAAACATTTGCAGGTAAACGACGAAGAATCCTAATAAGCATTGCATACAAAGTGGGCGCAAAGGTGATGGGCGAATGGCACTCTGTGAACGAAATACTGCCCAACACGCTCCCTGGTCATAATCGAACCATTGATGAGCAAGAAAAAAACGTGTGGGGTGAATAATACGATTTAGTTTACTGCATCATTATATTATAGTTAGCTGTTTCTGAATATACTCGAATAATTATTAACCATATTTTTTTGTTTTATTAAATTGCATCGATCTTTATAAGTTACAATCAGTTGGCCAAGCACCCAGACGATTTAAATATGATTTATAATTCATAAGTTTTACAAGAAAAAAAATTACACGTACAGTGTCTACAAAAAAATTAGATAAGAAGCTACGACGCACATTGTGTACCTCGCTTTTTGTACGACAAAACCTGGATGATACAACAAAGAGATAAGAAGAGTTTGACAAATTTCGATTTTTTTTCCTTTTTTCGTAATAACAATGCAACAAGAAATTTCTACACAAAAATAGTCAACATAAAATATAAATATACATACATTTAAACATACCAGTTGCAAAAAGTAAGGCGCACAATTAAGACGAAGCTCGGTAAAATGAATTTTTAACATTCCTGCTGTTTTGTCGATTGACTATTCGTTCTGAAACCGGGCGGGCTGGAGATTTGTGAATTTAATTCGTTGCCCAGCCAATTTAAATTTTGGTGGTGCGAGAAGTTGTTGTAATTTGGTTGCATCTGTTGATTGTAATTCGTATAATCAAACGATCTAACTGGTCCGTTTTGTAACTGCTGCGTCGGCTGCTGCATGCCGTTAAACTGCTCCCTAGATTGCATATTCGATAACATAAAATGTCTACTCGACGATACGATCGCCGGATCTAACACTTTCCAATCGTTACACGTGCCTAAACCTGCAAAACGTAAGTAATGACAGGAGAGACCGCCCGTCGGCCCACTCACCTTTGTTCGACTGTTGCTGTTGAATTTGACTAAAATTGCCCGACCAATTGTTTTGTTGTTGTGGTTGTTGCGTGCTGGAATTGTTACTTATCTGATGCGGCTGTTGCGTGTTGCCCATATTGAGGTATGGCAGTATTTTGCTACCAAACGAGTTCATGTGTGTGCTGGATTGCATGAAGCCCGGCGGCGGTGGCGGTAGGTGCCGATTCGAATTTTGACTATGCATCATGCCGTTAATTTGATTTGTGGCGCGCCCTACAAAGACAAGATCTTTTCAACTTTTGTCTAACCTTGTATAGAATTACCTATTACTATTATTATTTTTTTAATTAAATTAACAATCAATTCCTTTGAAGTACAACAAAATCTGAATAGCTGTAATTTTTTATAACCTAACTTCATAGTACTGTCATGTTTTATAAAAATTTATACAGATATCTCCAAACAGGTGGAACAATCCCTAACATTAAAGTTACTAGAATCTGGTAACTTTCGCCATTTTTGGGCAAAAATCATGCGTTCTCTCTCTAACACACGAGCCCAATGGATTGCGGTACTTTCTATATTTAGTGACTTTAGTACAACATACAGGACGTCTCACTCACCTGGATGGTGTACCTTGTGATTTTGCTCGTTTTCAATGAGCTCGGCGAGCGCCTTCTGTGTCTCGTGAAACGGATCGAAATCCAGCTCGTCCTCGGGCCGACTGTGATTCTTCCCGACCGAATTTTGATAATGCGGGTTATGCAACGACGACGACGGCGACCCGAAGCTCTGTCCGTTTATATCGCCGTTCATAAACTGGCCGCCGCCGCCGTGCATACTGTTATGGATTAACTGTCGATTTAAATTTAAGCTCATCAACTGTTCCTCGATCTGTCTCTGCTGCATGAGTAGCATGTTCTGTCTGTCGGTTAAATTGTGCAAGTAACTGTTGCTCTGCTGCTGGCTGAGGCCGTTCATCGGATGCGTGGTGAAGCCGTTCGTGTAAAGATCCTTCTGGCCGTTCTTGTAAAAGTCCGAGAAGAACTTGGACATTTGCTGATCGAGACCGTTCACGCCGTTGACGTGATTTAGACCGTTGATTCTGTCAGTTTTCAGGAATAGGGGCGAGGTGGTGTGGTTGAAGTGCGAGTGCTTGTTAGACAGCGCCTCCAAGATGTTCTCCTGCAGTTTGTTTGTGGTGGCGTCAAAGCCGTTCTGATAGCCGTCCATATTGCCGAACATGTCGATGGTATTAGGGTAGCTGTTGCCGAATGTTTCCAGTGTGTCCTTTACTCCCACCCGGTGTTTCGTGAGGTCCTCGACGAGATGAGTGGTCTGCTTCGAGAACCCGAACGCCGCCTCCCAGTCCTCGGTGCTGTTGATGTTCGGCAGTGAGTCGTTGAGAATTTGACACTGGGGCTCCGTACCGCCGTCCGAAACCGGATCCTCCTCGATCTCGGGGGCGATCTTTTGAAATGTGTTTTGTGAGAAGAAGCTGGAGTTGTCGTCGATTATCGGTATTTTTGGTATTGCGCATTCCATCTTTTCCGGCTCGAGCTCGTTTTTGCTTTTGGATGTGTTCTGGATTTTTTCCTCCATCGACTGTGACTTTTCGCATTTGCCATTGCTCGCGGTGCACTCTGCCGATTTACTCTTTTCCGGCTTCCTACTGCAGTCGCTTTTTAACTTGGTTTTCGCCTTCTGTGTTTTGTCTTTACTGACGGTTTCCGGCTGTTTCTTCTCGCATTTGTCCCCCTTTTCCGAATTCAACTGTGGCCAATTGTCCTTTGTGGTAGACGCCGAGGAGGACGTCGACTCTTTAGTTTTACTAACAGATCTTACTTCGGACTGCTGCTGCTGTTGTTGCTGTTGCTGCGCACTCTGTATTGCCATTTTTGTAACTAACAGATCATGCAACTTTCGTTCGTATTCCTGGTGTTTGCCCGCATGCATTTGTTCCTTTGTAAAACTGGCCTTTGGATCGCCTTAAAACAGAACATTATACAACTTTGCGGGACCGCAGACATAGTGCAAGAAATAGGATAGTAAGACAACCTTATGGAAATTTTATCCGGGGGGTCTGGGGGGGTATGGAATACCACCCAGTGCACAATGACCTTATGATAGTCATCAATCTTCCATTTTCCTTAGGGGTGCTGCCTGGGAGGTGTTCCATACCCCCCGGTTCCACATTCTTCCCCAAAACATTTACTGCCCCCCTTCTCGGGAAGACATAATCAGGAGGTCCTTTATAAGAGACTACCACAAGAGACCTTGGGGTTGACTGTGTGGGGTGATTATTATCATAAGGTCATTGTGCAAAAGGATGAACAATCAATCTTCTTTTTTTCTTAGGGGTGTTGCCTGGGGGGTGTTCCATACCCCCCGGTTACACATTCTTCTCCAAAACATTTACTACCCTCACAAGGGAGCTTGTGGAGTAACGAACACTGCTCGGGAAGACGGAATCAGATGGTTCCTTATGAGAGACTACCACAAGACACCTTGGGGTTGACTGTGTGGAGTGGCAATGTAGCACCGGGGGGTCTGGGGGGTATGGAATACCCCCCAGTGCACAATGACCTTATGATGTTGCAAAAAGATGAACAATCAATCTTCTTTTTTTCTTAGGGGTGTTGCCTGGGGGGTGTTCAATACCCCCCGGTTCCACATTCTTCCCCAAAACATTTACTACCCTCACAAGGGAGCTTGTGGAGTAACGAACACTGCTCGGGAAGACGGAATCAGATGGTTCCTTATGAGAGACTACCACAAGACACCTTGGGGTTGACTGTGTGGAGTGGCAACGCAGCACCGGGGGGTCTGGGGGGTATGGAATACCCCCCAGTGCACAATGACCTTATGATAGTTGCAAGAAGATGAACAATCAATCTTCCTTTTTCCCTAGAGGTGTTGCCTGGGGGGTATCATACTCCCCGGTTCCACATTCTTCCCCAAAACATTTACTCCCCCACAAGGAAACTTGTGGAGTATCGAACACTTCTTGGGAAACCAGAATTGAATAATCGCTTATTAGTGGAATCCTTGAGGTTGAACATATCGAGTGACAACGTAGCACCGAGGGGTCTGAAATACTCCCCATTGCACAATAATTGCAGGAAGATGAACATTAAATCCGGGAATCGACCGATACCGATATTAATATTGGCATATACCGATTTATCGGTCGCGAATCGCCGATAGTTTGGCTGATACATTCAAGATAAACGGGAAAACCTGGATTTGTCAGGGAATTTAATGAGAAATGCACCATTTTTGCTTATCTACGCGTAACCAGCGTTTACTGACCGATTGGAGCATTTGCATTCAATGCGGTCCCGTAGCCACGCATTTTAGTGTATGTGACTGGTGCTCAATTCAGTTGTTTTGTTTTTCGATGCAGTGAAGAAAATCAACCATTGCTATGACGGGATTGGAAACCAAAAAACCAGTATCCGTCGATTCCTAATTCAATCAAAACAATCCTAAGGGATTAGTGCCACTACTTAGCTTCAAAAACTCTGACACTTACATACATAACAAACACTTGCCAAAGCTAGGTAGTGGAGACGCTTATCTAATCTAATAATTTAAAAACAAAAACCTACATTGTTTATGAAAAACAATACACAAAAAATGACTAATCAATGTAAGGAGTCGACCAAATCATTTGATTTCTATCGTCTCAACGCGAAGGGCGTCTTACTATTCTATTCTTTTACCCTACGCCACAGGTGTGCTTACCGAAATCGTGCAGGTACATACAGTCGGGCTTCGGACACGGCTGGTTTTTCATGAAATGTGAACAATACTTTGTGGTACCCAAACTAGATTTTATAAGCCTACCGTCTATTGATATATTATTGACATTTTGTATAGCTCGTAAGGCGTCATCACTTTTCATATATGTAACGTAAGCACCTGAAAAACGCACGCACGTAATCACCCTTCGAGAGACGAAGCATCCCGAAACTCACTCGCACTCGGACCCTGGGAACCAGCATAAGACGTCGATTGATTAATGACGACTTTGTGTATCTTGCCAAACTTTCCAAAGTACTCGTGCCTCTTTAGGATCTCCGCGTCGGCGAGCCTAAGTGGTAGACCGACGACAAAGACGAGATTTTTCTGAACCACGCGTACACTGCAACAATCGCAAGTTAGCCGTCTTTTCGGGAGGGAGGGGGGAGAGGCGACTCACTTGGCTAGGTGTTTTCGACTTTCGCTAAGTTTGGCCTTACGCTGCTGATCCCGCTGACGTTTCTCCGCCTTCAGCTGGGCGACCTGCTCCTTCGACAGCGGCGTGAAGTCGGCCGGATTTTCCGAATACGCCTTCCGACAGGCCGGACACAATCCGTTTTCGTCTGTCCTAATCCGATGCCAGCAAAAACGGCATATCTGCGATGGGGGGTTTGTTTACAGACGGACGACGACACGACGAGTACGAACCTGATATCCGCAGCTGCACGGAAAGAAGTTGAGGTCGTCGACTTCCAACGGCTCCATGCACAAAGGGCACTCGACCTGCTCCTCTCCACTTTGATTAAGAACCGACATCTTTCTATACCTTCCCAAAAAATACTGCTTCGCTTAATCTTAAAAGAGCACAGACTGGATTAGTTTCTTCGGCTGGAAACTGACAAATGGGTGTAAATGAAAATATTATTGTGGAATTAAAAGGAATTGAACAGCTGTCAAAAAAGCTGCTACATGGCAGTTTTTTTTGCGTAAAAAATCACTTTTCCCAATAACGGTTCTGCCCATTCAAATTTTGATGTGACAAACGAGGCCGCCTCGACTCGCAAACAAAAATTCGAGGAATTTTTAAACGTCTTCTATTGTGTAGAACGACAATTTACGGAACGAACCTCTTATATACGTTGCAAAATTCAACAGTGAGCGTTCGCCCTTTTAATACACCCATCAACTTACACGCAAATTACGCTAGAATTTAACTGCGACCACAAATTCTGTTATTAATTATCCGATTAATGCAGGAAATAAAATATTTACTTACAAATTTTTCAGATTGAAAGATTTCAATATGGCTACTTGATAAATCACCTACGCATGAGCAATGTTTCATACAGGACGGGTATAATAATCTACGCTTTCTTTGCATAATCGCTAACGAACCTCCTTCGGCACACCGTAAAATTCATTACAATACGAAATAACTCAAAAACACCCTCCCAACGTAAACCGCAGCACCCCCAGTATGTTTTTGAATTTCCCGCGATCAAAATTATACAGTTTTGTGTCTATACGATCTTCGGTACGGTACAACAGACACCTGTAGCTTGTCAACATACGAGTGTTATCCGAAAAGTAAACTCAACTCAAAGTTTGGTGGGGCATGTGATTCTTCTTGGGCTCTAGTCGTGCAATAAATCCATACCAATGGGCCTAAATATATGAAAGTATATTCGCACGATAAGTTTACATTGCACTTTCAGATGATGAGGACTCTATGTTATAAACCGGCATAATCCGATCCGCCGAGATTTCGCCGGAAAACGAGCTGCCCTCGAATCTGTCCGAGAAGCTCGTCTGAACCCCCAGACCGCTCGGCGAGTTGCGATCTTCCGAATTTTCAACGAATCTGGCTCGATCGCTTTTCGCGCGTACTTCCCCCTCCGTTTTGTAACTGCATCGACAAAGATTACGAATGCGACGAATTGAGCGGGCGGAAACCTACCAGACTACGCGGCGTACGACGTGCGAACTGTTCTTCTTTGGGACTAGGCGTCGCTTACTTTCAACAGTGGTGGCACTGTCAGTGGTGCTGAAAATTGGAACTGTAATCGCAACTTACGGTGATCGTACTAGTACGTTTCGTTTTTCGAAGCGGAGGAGGTCACCCCTTCGGATGCGGACGTCGTCGAGTGCTTCGACGATGACTTACACGAGCAGGTGTTGATGCTTAACAAAGCCGCGCCGTCGCCTAAGCCTGAAATGTGACGTAAACTGTTCGTGTTGCGATCACGACGTGTGTACGTTTCCGTCCGGCCTTAATCCGGTAGCATATGAAGATGGAGCCCAACAGAAACCATATGAAGATGGTCGCGAGCAAGGCCATCAGAATCAGATCCGATTTTTTTTTGTCGGTGGTCGTTTCGTCCATGTCGTACTTCACGGCGGCGTCCTTCACTTGCATTTCTGGCATTATATTGTAATTTCCCATCTGCTTCTCGTTGCGCACCCCCATAGTCTTCAGCGTCTCCAGAATGCGCAAAACCCCACCGAATGCGGAGTAGAATTTCTCGTGATTGAGTAGGGGGACGATTTGACTCTGAATCCAATGAAAGAGGGAGTTTGTGAACCGCTTGGTGTCAGTCTGATTGGCGTTGTGTGCGGTTAGGCACTTCGTTGCGGCAATGTAATATTTAACTAGCACGTAGGATGCCTCTTTCGAGTCGATCTTCAGAAGGGGGTGCGCTTTGAATGGCAACGCGATCGCGGCGGGCTCTGAGGGCGAATCCAAAAACGGGAGCGGTATCTCCACGCAGCCGACTAAACCAGGCGTTAGCATTTCGCTCCCCAATGGAATTACTCACTTTCCCTCTCGATAACCGCCAAAGTATTGCAGGGGTTGGTGTCGCCTGTCGTCAGTGGCAGTTCCAAAGGTTCGACAGCCAATCGGACACCTGAAGGACCGCGGCTTTTAATCCATCCACGGCCATTGGTGCGTAAAAAGCACTTCAGTTCGTCAAACAGCTTGCCGAGCTTCTCGATGCTTCCATAATTAATATACCCGGCGTAATACGAATATCTGGCCGTTGGTAAAACGTACCGGTACAGGTATCCGCCTAAAAAAAGAGGACGTAACGATCACGTTCTGCGCGAATCTAACCTAGGGCGTCAATCAAAGCGTGTAGCGTTATTTGGTTTGCTTTCCCGTGGGTGTCCTTCCGGACTATGTCCAGGAGCAGTCGAAAGTATTCCACGAGATCGTTTACGTACATATTATCGTGTATGTTTAAGGAGTGCGTGTCCGGCAAGATATCCTCGAGGAACATTCTCGTTGTGAGAAGAGCGACGTCGTCCGAACTCCAGCACTCTTTCGCGATGTCGGATTCTGTAAATAGAACTGTGCCGACATTCAAATTCATAACGTTGCACGGACAATTGGCGATTATATAAATAAAAATGTAAAAATACATCACGAGTGACATCTTGTCAAACTATTTGGAAATTTATGGTTTTCCATACTTAATGTCGTAAGTTGTGTTGCCTAACAGTAAGGAGCCTCAATTACAGTAATTAAGTAACTGAATGAGGAAATAATCTCCTATTCTAGCATAAACAATACTCCTAGAATCCTAGGAATCAGAGGGCGGGTTCCAAAATCTCTGGTTACCCATATCGCCTCCCATTCTACCAAACTCCTCTCTTTTGCCATATTCCTTTGATCTCACCCGCGCTTGCATCTTTGCTTCATGAGTTATCTAGAAATATTCCCAGCCGTTTCCTGCCCCTAGCGCTCCTTCCCCCAAGAAATTGTACCATCACGACGCCCGTATGGTCACCTAGTTGCTTACTCTCTGAAGGAAGGAAAGAAATTCCTGCTAGACTTCTGGGAGTGGAGCCTGTTCGATTTATGTGTTACACCGAGTTACACCAGTGCAGGATATTAAACAATTGCTTTTGTTTCGTGGGTGTATATAACAACTAACATAACCTAACATTCTACTTATGTAAAATATTGCTCCCCTTTTTTACTTTATTTTCAAAGTGAAAAACGGCATCAAATTGGAAAACTATGAATTTGGTTATTAAATAAAACTCCCCGGAACTCAGGAAAATGTCCAGTAAACAATTCGCACTTCCCAACGGTACGGCCGCGAAGCAGAAGAGATTCTCCATAGACGACGCCTTCGAGGAAGAAACGGACGAGGCCATACGTGTCTACGGTACGACATGCATGCCGTCGAATAAAATCGGCCTCAATGGAGAGGGCGACTACACAAGCATCAAAGTGGACTCGGCCAGGTATTGACGTGCGTGCACCTTTAAATCCAGGTCTCATCTGTTCGTTTTCAGGACGTACAAAATGTCAAACGACGCCTCGCGAGACAGCGACTCTTTAATCCAGGATTACTGCGACGGCTCAAATCAGGAGATTAGCAATACTTCGTGCTTTCAACATCCGAAGATACGCGAGAACTGGCGCATGGTACTTGCGGCGACCACGTTGCTTTTTATTGGTATAGGTCTGCTCACGACTGGCACGTTGGCACTTGCTGAACCGCAGGCCGGACTCCAGGGTGCCGTCTTCTTGCTCGCCGGGTTCATCTGTTTTATACCGGGGGCGTACCATGTCGTCTACATTTACCTGGCGGCAAAGGGCCGACGCGGCTACCACTTCCACAACTTACCACTTTTCACATAATGCGCTCGTGCGGTAGGCGTAACTTTTAAGGAAACTGATCTCATTATTATCGTACTTGTAAATTTAAGAGCCACTCTTAAGTTGAATGAAAGACATCCCGTAGCTTTACCTTCTTTTTTAAGCTTTAGAAATAATGACACATTTGGCACTGATTTATTGTTAAGTAATAACAAATAATTATTTATTTATTACATTTTATTATCACATAATCCATAAAATCTATTGTAATTAAAAACTTTCATACTAAAGTCGGCTTATTGTGCATTTTCGCTAAAGGCACTTGTACCTTACGTTACTAATTAGTAAAAAGACAACCTTATAAGGCGATTTATTTAAAAAATAATAATAACAAAACGGCGAGGGGGCACCGTTCACGAAATGACATATATACTTTGAAAATTGTTAATAACATTATATACATGGGGTTCGTTGTTACGAAACGAAAAATGGTAAATGCATACACGCACACACACAAACGCATTGTAGATGAGGCAGTGGTCGGAACTTCAATTCCGTATCGTTAAGAGAACTGTAATTTGACAATTAGGGGCATGAATCTGAAAGGCCACACAAGAAAACTGAGACATGATTGCGTCCTTTTTTATTTTGGAATTGCAAATTTTTTTTAAAAATTTCGAAAATTCCCATGGGGTCTGGGGGGGGAGGGGTGTGTATGGAACTTAATGGCCCTAAAGGTCATATACTAATAATGTACAGGGTGTCCCATTTGCGACACTGTAATTGTAATCAAAAAAGCAACACAGGCGCCATATGCTCTTTTTGAGCCAAACTTAAATTGGTAAAATCAACATTTGAAAATTAAAAAATACGAGGAAAAATCAAAAAATTGCCAATTTCAGAAAGACCAAAGTTTCTTTATAATGGTTCAAAAATCTTTTTTGAATCACTTGAATGAATCTTTTGTTAACCATGGTATGGTATATTTTTTAGATTAAAATATACAGGGTGGTCCATTAAGAAAAATGAGGTTAGGTCCGGTTTGTGAAACCTTTAATTCCTTCAGAAGATGGTAAAAATAAAGTAGGCCTTGGATTTTGATTTATCTGAAAAAAAAAATTTTTACCTACAGCTCCGGCTAATCATTTGTAATTCATTTAACTGGCGGTACTGTACGAAACTTTTCTGTGTGGCCGATCTGGATTTCGCAGTGTACGATCTTACATTACGGGTTAGTACGAATGAATTGTTATTTGAAATAAACCTGAAACCTTTAACAAAATGAAACAACACCTCAAACTTCGTCGGACGCCATCGGGGGCACGGCGTTCAGGCCGTCGCCGCCCGGTCCGTCCTCGTCGACGTTACTTTTACTTAAAGCTACCTCCGCCTCCAGCGCCCTAATCCTGTTCTCGTGCTTGACGATCATCGCCTTCAACTTTCGGATCTCGTCGGCGAAGTCCTGCAGCGTCTTGTCCTGAAACGGGAAATTGTAGCGTGCTAGTTTTAGTAGTGGTAGAGGACGGTTTCTCGACCGGCTCGTCACCTCGACCTTCAAAGGTCACTCTTTTCCTTGACGGTCTTTGAAAGTAGGTCAAGAAAGAAAACTTCGCGACGTTTTTTTGCGGGCAGTCAGCCCGTTTATGTGAAAACGCAATTCGTCTGTGTCAAAATAAGGTGCCAGTTTAAGATTATCGCAAAATTAGAAAAAAAGTATGTCATTTTAAGATTTCTTATTTTAATTGTCGGCCGCCTGCGTGCGGGGTAATTGTAAACTTTTCTTTCTTTCATAGATTTTGTTTCAATTGTTTTCCCAATTAATTAATTAGCTAACCGTTTTGTGGGTGGCGTAGTGACTGCATGCCACACCGCCTAGGTGGGTGAGTGACTGAACTGGTCTAGTAACGGCCCTTTACCACTTCAAGTGTAATTTCGTCGAGTACTACCGAGACTTCCGGTTGTGGTTTCGCCGCCTCCTTGGAGCTTTTGCCCGAACCCTTATCGAGCACGTTGCGCCGTCGGTTAACGCTAATCGAAATCTTCGCCTCGGGCGGTTTGTATCCGTCCTTGAGCGAGATGAGGATCGGATCGACGTCCTTCCCCTCCATCCACTCTTCGGCGGTGCACGCGGACGAGTCGCCGATCGTGTCCGGGTACAGATCCTCCTGGAAGAGTTCCGACTTTCTCGGCACGGTCATCGTGATCACCTGACACAGGCCGGAGTTCGTCAGGCGATAGAAGCGCGATATCTCGCAGATCGAGACGTCGCAGCCGCGTTTCGGCATCATGCCGATGCCGCGCTGCGGATCGGGCGTCTGAAACGTGTTGATGTAGTGGACGAAGGGCGGTTCGGGCGTTATCTCGAAGTAGCGGATCACCGAGTCGCCCTTGCCGCACAGGTAGATTAAGTTCGTGTCCGCGTCGTACAAGGGGAACATGACGCCGTTTGACGTGTCGAGTTCCACCATGACGATCGGCTCGCTAAGCATGTCGGGCGTTCGCAAACTGTACTGCCTTTCGGACATCTTCGAGAAACCGGTCGTGAAGACGAGCCCGTGCCGCAAGAAAATCGCGCGCGTTGCTTTCGAGCCCTCGTGGCAGACGGCGTCCGATTCGATAACGCCGGTTCGCGGGTTGATAATTCGTATCTTCTTATCCTTGCAGGTCGTCAATAGCTGCGAGCCGTCCCAGTTGAAGCAGGCGCTGTAGATGATGTCGGGGTGGCAGTCGATGTGAACGAGCGCCTCGCCGGTGCCCACATTCCATATCACGACCTGGTTGTCGCTACCGGCCGTTAAAAGTACGTTTAGCGCCGTCGGATGCCATAAGACCAGCCCCACCCGCCGCTGGTGGTAGAGAAGGTCGACGATTGGTTCGGTTAACGTCTTAACTAAACCATGGTCCGGTATGTGCCACACTTTCACGACACAATCCTCAGAGCCGCTCGCGATCACGTTGTCATTGTGAGGGCAAAACGCTATGTCTAGCACGGGGCCTTTGTGACCGCCGACCAGTGGATGGTCCGCGGCTATACGACCGGCCTACAAATTGAATCCACATTTTTAGATTGTTCTTCCACTTAATCCATAATATCATATGTTACAAGAAAAGCGGCAGGGTGAAAAGAACACTGCGCCAGCCCCACTTTCACGCGAACGCTCAATGCGCATTTTTTCGCCTAAACAACAAATCATATGGGCGCCAACCCACCCCCCCACTGTTATCACTTATATGATAATTTTCGAGAAAATACCATTGAACTTACAACCACGATCTTATGAAGTATGGGATACTCTTCAGGAACAAGAATACAATTGTCTTTTCAAGAAATCGTAGTACCGGGGGGTCTGGGGGGGGTATCCCAGCAGACGAAGATGCAATTACCTACTTTGGGGAGGGCACACTCTGTTGGCTGAGGGCTTTTCCATACCCCCGGTGTTGTGCTTTTACTCAAAAACGTTTAGTGTTAGTCTCGGTGTTAGCACTTATACGATAATTTTCGAGAAAATGCCATCAAACTTAGAACCACAATCCTTTGAAGTATAGAATACTCTTCAGAAAAAAAGGATACGATTGTCTTTTCCGAAATCGTACCACCGGGGGGTCTAGGGGGTATTCTCCAGCAGACGAAGAAAAGACTACATACTTTGCTGAGGGCACACTCTGTTGGCTGAGGGGTAGTCCATACCCTAGTAATTTACTATAATCATAATACATTAACAATTGTCTACTGATAAACAATTTCCCAAACAAATTGGCGAGGAAATTGGTATTGAGAGAACATAACACGGAAGGAGGTGCTTACAAAAACAGGTGGGAGGGGCAAAAAGCGCCTAAGAGAGTAAGGTGGGGCTCAGATAATCTTCTATAGGGCACCTCACCATTTCTTAAATACGGCATACGGTTCACTTATAATTCAACAAGTTAGGTAAACTTATTATTAACCCGACTAT